GTTCTGTTAGAATCGCTGAAAACTGTTTTCCAAAATTCGCAGCGGGTAGTGTACAGCATCGATTTCTGTGGAACCCAGTAGCTGTCAAAACTTTCTCACATTTTTACGAATAACTCGGAAATCGTAAATTTTTCAGGTAAAACGTTTGAAACAAACATATCTCTAGCAATACGTCTAGTCTCCAATTCCTCGTCAAGAACGACCTCTGCTAAAACTTCTACCGCTAGATTTTCGTTTGTTGCAGTGCATTTCCGTCTTCCGTGTTTTTTTTCCTTAAACTACCAGTAGTGCGGCCTCTGGGTCCTAACCTTTTAAACGCCATGTGGGATTTTGGATTGTTTGAAAATCTTTGCGCCCACAATAGCGGAGATTCTCTGTACTTCTTTCCGCACTCTCCCAAAATTAACATGTCAACTTCCATATTAAAATTGTGTTCCATGTTTAATTACAATAACTTGAGGAAAAGAGCGATAAAACGTCAAAATTCTCAATTAACGCTTGCAGTAGTTTATCATCTTATACATCTAGTTTATCAATCAATGTGCGTATTCTCCATTTTTTTGGGTGACTTGTTGCGTGCAGTTTGCAACAGATACTTCATGTGAGTATTGATTAGACATACGAGAGTGAAAAAAAGTGCAAGTCTCCTATAAAAGGCTCGAAATGATACCAAAAGCAATCAGTTCTGATCTGCTTAAAATTCGAAATGGCTTTCCAAGTTACTTTGAGGTTTATTGTGGTTATTTGCTTTACATTTTTAGTGCAAGTTTCCCTAGCTGAGCACAATATCCGACAGTGTGCGGACCCAACACAAGCGTAAGCACTTATATATTTATATATATAAAGATATAAAAGGAAAATTTAGTCAATTAATCTACCGCGCTTTAGGGCACATATACTATGTCAGAAAGACATAAAGGATGGTGCAAAATTTCTGCAAATTATTAAAGAAGTTGTGGACTGTCCGGAGTCTGGAATAAACACCTATCCAATTACTTGTATTCTGGTAAGTCTTGAAAAAGTTAAAGAGTCCTGAAAATTAATTATTTAAAATTACCAGGTTACCAACCAGCTTGGTGATGATGGTGGAGATGCTGAGATTGTAAGTGGTGGAATTGGATACACTTCCGTTGAAATATCAATGACTTCCAAACTTTCCAAGGGGCTTGATTATCACATGGAAATTTATACCGCACAAGAGTAGCAAGCATAACAATACCACTGCTATTTAACTAATTTAAATAAATGTTTATTGGCTTGTAATCGTTGGTTTTATTGGGTGTAATTGTGCCGAGGTTTAGAGCGAAAAACGTTTTCGGAACGACCCCAAATTTTTTTTTTTTATTATTAATAATATTAATGCTTTTTTATTCCTGGAATCTCCCTAGGTCTGTTGTGACATACAGAAACAATCTAAAATATTTTGTAGCGAAGTAAACAACCATTTTTGTTAAATGCCAAAGCCTCCATTAGTTATTGAGTGATATTCTCAGACTACCCAGGCTTCAAAATAATGACAATGTTGTTGAAGAAGCTCTTCTTGATTATTAGAAATCAATTTTTTTCGAAATCAATCAAGTTTTTCAAATATTTTAGGAACATTTAGTAACGCAATTTCGGTGATTTTGATATGAATAGTTGATAATATTTTACAGATTATCAGACTATGAAGGCTTTCACGGCCAGTCAAATCACATATAGAAATGTTTTTGGGGCTTTGAAGCCTTATCTACTGGGAAAAGGTGGATCGATTAACAACGCCAAAAGAAAAAAAATTGATGCACTTACGGAAAGGTTTCACCAATCCAGCAAAACAGGACCACCACCCGAGGAGAACCACCGGAAGATTGTAGTCAACTTGACCAACAAATAACTTACTGCCGACGAGTAAAGCGTGCTGACCAAGGGAGGAAAATTTGCCATAGTACCGTCCAGGCTACCTGTCCAGACATCATAGCAAATGTCGAGAGTGCAATACGTTCACTACCTAGTCAAACCGCGGAGTTAAGGGAGATAAGGGCTGAGACATCACGAATTTTACAAGGTTTAAAGCCTCCAAAGAGCAACCTCACCTTCAGAGAAAGAAAAGCCTTGAAAACGCTCAGCGAGGATACGGAGATTCTCGTTTTACCAGCTGATAAGGGCAATGCAATTGTGGTCATTTCATCGTTGAACTACGAGGACAAAATTAAAGAGCTTTTGGCCCCGTCAACGTACAAGAAGTTGGCACGGGATCCGATGGCGCGGATACTAAGGACAACTAACAAATTAATTAAGGAGATGACATTTCCGTCCGGGGAGTTGGTCAAAGTCAAAAAATCAGAAGCACTCCCACCAAGGCTCTACGGACTGCCCAAGGTCCATATTTCGGATGTACCACTGAGACCCATTGTGAGCGCTATTGGAAGTCCGACCTATGATATTGAAAAATATCTAACAAGAATTTTTATTTATTTAGGAAAAACTGACAGTTTTATAAAGGACTCATCTCATTTTGTTCAGAGGTTGCACTCGTTGTCATTAGCTCCCGGAGAAATCCTTGTGAGGTTTGATGTTGTTTCGTTGTTCACAATGGTACCAATCAAGGAGGCAATGAAACTTATTGAGAGACAATTTCCACCAGGCATCGCCAAACTGTTCCAACACTGCTTAACCACGACCTACTTTCAGTGGAGAAACAAATTCTATGTACAGACGGATGGAGTAGCAATGGTGATAGCCAACTACTTTATGGAGAAATTTGAGATGGACGCTCTGGACACAGCCGCGAGTAAACCTAAGTGTTGGTTTCGATATGTTGATGATACTTTAGTTGTTTGGGGCCATGGTCTGCTTGAACTTAAAGACTTCCTGAGGCACCTCAACTGAATCAACCCAAAAATACAGTTCACAATGGAAGTGGAGATGGATGGGCGACTGCCATTTTTAGATGTCTTGGTAACCAGAAAAACCAACGGAAAGCTGGCCCACCGGGTGTACAGAAAACCGACACATACCGACCGGTACCTGCACAGTGGATCAAACCATCATCCTAGTCAAAAGAGAGGAGTCATTAAAACCATCACCGAAAGAGCCAGAAGAATTTGCGATCCATCTGAGTTAGAAAGAGAATTGAAACACCTAGAAAGGGCATTTGGTTGGAATGGATACAGCAAAAACGAGTTTAATAGAGCAATTCGACCAAGAAACAGTGGAGGTCGTTCTGAGAAAACAGACACGCATGATGAGCGTAAGGGTTGGCCTTGCCTCCCATACATACATGGAGTCACGGACAGGATCGGCAGCATACTGGAGAAACACAGAGTCAAAACAGTTTTTAAACCAACTCGAACAATCCACCAGGAGTCAACAGAGTTCCATTCAGTTGTGGCAGAGCATGTATCGGCACCACAAAACGTAGTGTAAACACGAAGATCACTGAGCATAAATGAAGTTGCTAATTAAGACAAACAGAAAAATCAGCAGTAGCGGAGCATGCACTTCTAGACGGCCACCAAATACGTTTCGATGAAGTGGACATTCTGCACCAATCTCAACGGTATTACCCGGGACTAACCAGAGAGGCCATTAAGATCTTTAAACATTACAACAATTTTAATAGAAAAAAAGAAGTAACGGTCCTTATGCTTATGATTGGAAACGCGTTTTGCGGTAAACAGCGTGTGCGCCAAACCCCTTGAAGCCCCGCCCACTCCTCACACATGAGCTCACACGTCCGGGCCGCATAAATACGATAAGGGATCCAGTAGCTGAACTCAGCAGTTGCTCACAGACTACCAGAGAGTCGAGTTCGCTTGTGCTTGTCCGCCGTGCTTTGAATCGAGGCTTCGCTTGAAGCAGTCAGTTTAAACCGGCTAAGTGAATTGTGTCCAACAGTGTGCGATTCTAACCAATATTTTTTCCACAGAATTTCTAGGTATTTTTTAATACCAATAAATTCGGCGGTATTCGCAATACCGAAATGGCGCCG